GGGGGGGGGGGTCTGTGAGGTGGGGGCGTGGCTCCTTTCGCCCACTCCTTGCCTGAGCCTATTGACAGGAGTAGCACACCACAGCTAGCTTGGCTTTGCCACAGCTGGAGCTGCAGGGGGTGGGAGGAGGTGGTGGTGCAAGGGAGAGGAGTGGTTCAGCAGGCTTCTGGGAGGCTGCTTAACTACTCAAGCACCCCTGCCTGCTGGCCAGGGCAAGTACAGGCAGGCTCGGGTCATGTTCCCCCCCCGACCCAACAGGTGAATGTCTGTTGGGTTCAGTGGTGATGTAACTCATAGTGCTTTGTGTAAAGTGCCATGAGTTAGAGCCCCTCCGTGCCCCCCCCAATGCCTGTAGGCACCCTACATTTCCAGGGGTCCAGTGACTATTGTGCAAGGTGGATTAGGAGCATGTCTAGTAATTGAGATATGAAAGTGGCATTTGCACAACCTCTTACCAACATGCTGCACTTACTCACATACCACACTGACTTTTTTCACCATAAATTAGGAATTGAAAATTAGAGTGTGTACCTTAAGTGAGGAAAATGAGAACTGAATGATTTGGCTAAAGGGAAACTCTTTTTATTTCTTCATTCAGCCATCCTAAAACAAGTTAGGATGTGTAGTATGACAATAAATATGTTAGTAGGGTTTGGGCCAGTGGGCTTTGCTAAGAAGGTCATTATTATTACTCCCAATTTTCAGAGAAGGAAACAGAAAGGTGGACTTTCTCATGTCAACCCGACCTGGGACTGGATCATCCAGTCTTAGTTCAGTCATTTATTCAGAACACCATCCCAAAGGCCTGTAATTTATGCTGCACTACTTCCTTTCCTAGCTGGGTAGTACATAATTGCATAAAAGCCTTTCAGGATGATCATCCACACTTGTGCAGTGACAGATGCTGCTATGCAAGATTTGCTTTTTCTGCAAGTGCTACTGCAAACAGGAACTCATTTGTGTGAATGTGAATATTTAAAGAAAAGGTTTGTGCCAAAGTGAACTCACAAATTTGTTCCGCATAAAGGTTTTCCTGGATGTAATAAGTGTAGGAGAGAGAGAGTAACAGCAAAGGACAGAGAGTAGATATGGGAGGGTGCAGGCATTGAAAGGTCGAGTGTGATTCCTTGGGAGGTAAAGTTTCATTGCTGTAGAGTTAATCTCTTGAGCTTTCATTGCAGCTTTGTCTCCTTCAGTGGTTCTTGAAATGAGTTTCCATTTGCCTGTGCGGGGCTAATTTTCTCTCATCTGCCTCATCCCAGTGATCATTAGAGGCACAAAGTGCCTCTGTTGTATTTCTTCCTCCCTCAGACAGTCTCCTTAGTGCTTTGGTTTGTTAATTCTGCAATCACTCAATGGCAATCAGCTCTTGTTAGTCTGCACTGGTTATTTCACCAGGACCCCTCCCACAGAATAAGCTGGGAGGGGGTGCTTGAATCTCCACCAGTGTTTAACCAACAAGCACAGACATTTACTATAGCAGATGCTGTAGTCCATTCCCAGTGACATTTGGTTTTACCATTAATCCTTTTATCTGCTCCTGTGGGACAATAGGAAAAAGGAGAAAGGTGAAACTGTGATTCTTACCCGTGCCCAAATTGCCCCAAAAACTTAGGTGTGGCTATGCCTGGATTTTGCACCATTACATTTGAATCCTGATTCAGGTCCAGAGCTTAAGTGCCAACTTTAGACACATTGGAATCTGGAAATTAAGCAATGGAGGTCTCTTCCACCTTCCAGAGTGCTGAAGACTGTTGACACTGGATTTGGACCCAGCCTGTACACCTTTGTTCCGGGTGAGCACAACCCTCCGACAGACCACAACACCTGCCAGTTGATAATAGGTGAATTTATTAAGCAATCTATATTTACCAATCCTAGGGCTGTCCTTAGAGTCAAAGTACATCTGGTCAGGATGCACGCTTCACTTCTGAGGCTTTTTCTTAGGTGTCAGATGTGCAGAATATTTCTCTTTGGAGGTGAATCCCATCCTCCATCCTTTGTAGGCCTTTCTTTTTAGCCTCAGGAGGTCTGCTAGGTCCCTGGAGAGCCAGGGGGTCTGCTGTGTCCTCTTGCTGCCTTTCCTCCGAGATGGAATAGACTTAGCTTGTGCACTGAGGATCGCTCCCTTGAGGAGCAACCACTCTTCCTGGACTCCCCTCCCCCTGTGGTCGTGGTCCCTTAAGGCCTCACTGACCAGCCTCCTGAGCTTGTCAAAGTCGGCTTTCCTGAAAGCCAAGTCAAGGACTTCTGTATTGCTGACTGACTTGCCAGCTTTACGGCGGATGGTGAAGGTGATCAGTTCGTGGTTGCTGTCACCCAGCTTCCCATCAATCACTAGGTCGCCGATTAGGTCATCCCCAGTAGCCAGTACCAGGTCGAGCAGTGCTTTACGTCTCATTGGCCCGTAGACTTCTTGAGTCAGGTAGAGGTCATCCACGCACGAGAGGAGCGTTGTGACCGCTCGGATTTTGCTGAGTGATCCTCCCACGAGAAGGGAGACATGCTAGACAGCCAGTTTGCTTCCAGGGCTGTATGGAACTGTGTGTGTGAAACGCAGTCTCTTACAAATCAATTAACTGCTGCTGCCCATCTTGAACCCTTATCATGCATATAGCTATAAGCCAATTCCCAAAAAACAGACCTTTAAATACCATTTCTAAGCCAACAAAGACTAGCTGGCCAATAAATGCTATTGTTGCTGTGTGGTAAATTTCAGGTTTCCAGATGTATTTTCATCACAAATTGGGACAAAAACTCAAAATCTGTAACTGTTCACACTTAAGATCCCACAGTATTTCCATCCGTGGACATTGAAACATGATGTTGCCCAAGCCAAACATATTATCCTGAATTTTCAGAAGCTGTCAACTGAAAATGGTGGGATTCTTGTCAGTCTCACTGCTATCTACCATTGCATAGCTCCAGGAAACTGGATCAGATTGCAGTACAGGGGATGGCTGACAGCGCGGAACTGACATGAATCATATCAGTTTCAATCTGCAGTTTCCAGAGCTTGCAGCAATACTACTTCAGAGTTGGGACCCACAGGGTTTCCAGATGCCCAGAACATTTGATGCCACTGTCTGCATGAGTTAGATGCTCTGAGGAACCACCTGGCTTGTGAGTCTGAAGGCCCTTAGGCCCTTGAACCTTTAGCAGTCTGCTTAGCAGAGCTGCAGACCCTTGAAGCCCAGAGGTCAGAACCCATCTCGATAAAGTCTATTCCCTGAGGGCACTGAAGCTGCAGACTCTGGAAATCCATCTCAGGGTTTTCCAAGTGTCTAGGCAGAGCCAGGGTTCTCAGGGCTTCCAGGATTTTGGACTCTTTGGAAGAGAGTCCTAGTGCACTCTGGGTGTGTCTACACATATGCATTTATTCCACAGTCACCAAAATTACTGTGTAGTACAGGCATGCATCTACATATAAATATGGCAACTTATGTCGACTTGAGTCTTTGTTTGGTACCTGTATCATGCAGGTATCGAATTTATACCTGCTTAGTTACTGCTCAGTAACGCACGTGTAAGCACCTTATTACTCAGTGTTACTGTGTAAGTGGGAATAGGCTAGCGTCTATACATGCAAGCATTAAAATGCATTAACGTTGTGTATGGACTGACTTGGGCCTAAAGTTAGTCCCAAGTCAGTTCACGCACAGCGTTAGCACGCTTTAATGCCTGCATATGTAGACACTGGCCTATTCCCGCTTATTGTGCAGCAAATTTAAGCTGACATAAATGCATGAATAGACACAGCCTCTGTGTTGCTCTCAAAAGACCAAGGAGTTAAACTTATAGAACTACGACATTTGTTTATTCAGAGAGCAGTGCTGTTCCCTTCATTTCCCTCCTGCAATCCTCCGGCAAATGTGAGAACTTACACGTGACACTCTTACAGGTATCCACATGTACTCTGCTCGGAAGCACTGCCCAGCAGCTGTGGATGACAGAAGCCCAGCCTTCCTAGCAGCCTACCAGGTGACCAATGGGAAATCTTCCTGCACTTCACTGGAAGTTTGCTGAAACAGAGACCTTGTAGCAGAACATTTCAGCTTTGGTGACCCTGTATTTTTCTGGGATAAAAACCCATTTTATTAGAAAATCCTGATCAAGTTTTGTTGGCACTGCCTAGAGAAGGTGTGAAAAACAAAGGGCACAGTTCACTTCCAGGCCACTTTATTTTATTCCCATCTGGCATGGAGATACAAAGGAAATAAACTGAAGTAACACCTCAATGGCTCATGGCTCAGGCTCAATAAGTTTACAACAAGGGGCCAGATCCTGGAGTAAATAGGTGCAGTTTCTTTGATGGCAGGAACACCATGCTGGTTTCTACCCACCTAGTATCTGATCTCAGGATTGAGGAATCTTGATTAGCTTTGCCACCTGCAGGAAATCGCCAATGGAAATGGTACTGATTTACTTGTCTAATAACGGTCTCTTAGAAAGCATTTTTGGAATAGGTGGAATAGGTGACTTCGGACAGCTGCGCTCATGAAAGCAAGTTTGGCAAAGCAGCAATGGTCTGGGCACACAACGTGGCACTTTTTGGAGGGGAATGAGGTATGCTGGCAGGAATTTCTAGGATAAGCTCACCCAGGCAGTAGAAGCTTCTCCACACACAGCTCTGCCAGTGCCCCCTACTTCTGAGCTGCACCGTAACTTTTCTGACAAAGCCCTTTCTGCACAAAAACTCCAGTCTTTCTTGAATTGTGAATTGATTGTCATGGACCCCATAGGCAGATTTTCTGGTGGTCCCTGGTTGTAACATATACTTCATTTTTAGTTGCATCAGAGCTACAGTTGACCTAACTGTTCTAGTAATAAGAGGTCAAGGACAAAATGCCATCAGTTACCTTGTCACCTTCTTCTTTCCTCTGAATGACTTAGATTAAAATGAATGTGACCAATTTATGTCCTCGTTTCCTGGCGAAACTGCATCAATGATCATTGTTTCCTATGCACTTTTTCCAATGAGAATGGGCTATATCTAATAAATGTTGTTATAGATACAGGATGCTCTACGTGGTAGTAAATGCAGCAATTAATGCTAATGAGTCTGCTGTTAGCAAGTAATATTATTGGTGTTACACTCACGCCTCACCAAATGCAGAGCTTCAGTTTGTTAAGCAGATGCCAGTGTTAACAGCCAAATTTTCTGCTCATGGATAAGTTAGCGTTAGTTAAATGTACCATTAAAAATAACCACTTAAAATGTTAATGAAAACAGTGATTGCACTTGCCAGGGTTTTTCTTGTCTCCGTTTTATTAATTCTTAACTTTTATGTGTTGGTGGGAAAGTGTGCATACGTATGCATGTGGTGGTGGTGGGGGGGATAAGATTTTTATGCACATTTTTATGCTGTACATGCAAATGGAGACCTGGCACCATTAAGTCCAGGGATGGCAGAAAAAATGATGTGTGTAGCTCTGCTGGTGTCCTTCACTAATGCCCTGACATCCCCTGCTATTCCCATACCTGGATCGTCACACAGCCCTGTGAGTGCCCCTCACTTGTGAGTTGCAGCACCACCTGCCTTATAGATCTGATCTCCCACTCGCCCCAGCTTTGCTAACACTCTTCAGTTCTGACCTTTAAGCCCCCACCCTTACTTTTCCAGATCTATCCTATGCTCACAACTCTTGCCAATGCACCTCGGCCCAGACCAGCAGTAGCTCACAGTTTTGTGTGTTTGTGGGGTTTCTTTGTTCCAGTGAGATCAGACAGGGAGGACCAGGGCCACAGTTCTTACTGAAGACCACAAAAAGCTTAACCGAATGCTCTTCAAGCATAACAGAAAGCAGAAGCAGATAACAAACACAGCATAGAATGACTACACCTCCTGGCAGGAGTGCCCCCACACACATAACACTCAGTGCATGACACCATTCCCCCTAGATTACATAGGCCTTTGACTTAAAGTACTTGAGCCAGATGGTGTCTTGCCTTAGGTGACTCAGTGCAGGGTTTGGAGTCATCCTGCAATTTCATTGGAGATGGCAGCAAGCCATTTTGGTTCTTCTCGAGTCACTTTGGCAGCTGGAAGATTTGATGGGTCTAGGACAATAGCTAAGGGCCTTGTAAGAACCGGTCCTGCTGGCAGTACAGTGTCTTATGGAGCTGTAGATGGCAGATCATCTGGAATTTGATCTTACATCTGGTCAATATGTCTGCAGAGTATCTCAGTATCTGAAGTCTTGGTCTTGTATGACACTGGTCCTGTAGCTTCAAGGACACTTTGTTTTACAAGACAATCAATCTCTGCATCAATTTTGGGACAGAGGGTAAACACAGTATGACACAGCTTCATTTGAATTGATGCCGTAGTCAGATCCAATGTAAATTAAACTGGTGAACCTTTGCACACACCCAGCCCTTTAGGACATCTTGAATGGTGTCTGTAACAACTCTGTGTGCTCCTGTTAACTCAATGCCTAGTTGCTTATAACATTCTCCACCTAGCAAGCTTGCTCACTGTCCTCTGACAGCTATAAGGTACAGGACCCCTTGCTCCTTCCTGTAGCAGGCAGTGCTGTAACATACTCCCCTCAAGACAACTGCTTGTTTATTGTAGTCAATGAGTCATACTACACATGGGACAGTAGGCAGGTGATTGCAAGGCCATAGCCATTTGTATGTCTCTTCTGAAATTAAGGCAAACTGAGCTTGAGTCCACCTCTATGACATATGGAACACCTTGGAGCATCACTATAATGTAGGTCTTCTGTAGGGGTGATATTTTCATGTTTTTGACAAACCTGGTAGTTTGGACATTGATGAATGTTCTGCAGGCTGAAATTCCATTTGGATCAGCAATGGTACGTATGGCAGCTGGAAGTGTACCTACTTGGTTGCCTTCCTTCTGGATGGCTTGAACTTGTGACAACACATGCATGTTGAATGTATCTCTTGCACTTGCAAATTTGGCATTCAGCATCATAGCAGTGGCATGCCTGTGGCTTCAGCCACACCTATTTTAGCTTCTCTGGGATGAACAATTGTATTATGTTGTGCATTAGTGGTGAATTCTTTCAAGAATGCCCTTTGAATCACACTCAGTTAATTTTGTTTTAGTGAACAACACTTGGATCTCCTTTGAATACAGAAATACAGCCTTGTGAAAAAATGCATCTGCCTGAGCAATGATGAATGTTAAGTGTTGCTTTGTAGGACTGTGCCTTGCAGGATTTCATCTCAAACTCCACATAAGAATCTTTACCTCAGTAGAGACCCAAGACTGGTACCAAAATTACAGTTCTTGGACAGATAATGCATCTCATCTGTATATCCTACCAGCCTTTGTTTGGCACCTGATTGCACTAGTTGAAATGAAACTAGCACCACTGGCTATGGTCTGAGCTCCTCAAGTTATGCTGGTGTCTTTTGTAGCACTTGACACTTACAATTTAGGATGAAGCACTGGACACATCTGGCTCACTGGGATTCCACCAAATTGCCAGTTTTGTGTATTGCAAATGAGAAAACACGAAAAACAATAAGACAGCCATCTTTACTGTACAGCAAAAAGGGATTAATTGAATGTTCTTCAAGCATAACAGCGGGCAGAAAGAGGATATGAACACAATATGTAATAGCCTCGCATATTGGGAGATGTACACACAAACACATACATAAAACATTCAGTGGGCGCATCTACACATGAAAATAATCCAGGAATGGTTTGCTCTCGGGTCTACTACTTGACAGTAAATTCTACCAGGCACGCGTCTACACATGCAGCGATGCGGGAGCAGATTTGCTTCTCCTAGCAGCAGACTGCTTCCTCTTCCTGAGGCCCTGCAAAAAGTCCCTGCAGCAGCTAAAGGGAGCTCTACGCACCCCTTGGATGCTAGCTCATGGGCCAGGAGACAGCTATCTCCTGGCAGAGGCTGTGACATTGCTCCCTATCCCTGGGACCTGCCTGTTGCTCTGCCACAGGGGCTGTTGCTCTGCCACTGGATCCCGGGTAGGGACAATGTTCCCCTGCTCTGAAAGCAGAGAGCTCCCAGTCCCCACTACACAATTGAACCCAGGCTGGGAGATCCTTATCTTCCAATGCCAGCTCCGTGGCTATGGTGCTGGTTTTGGGTGAGAAGAACCTCCCAATCCTGGCCCTGTTACCACGGAGCTCTGCTAGGA